TTCCCTAACTTGGAGAAATCATCCAAAGATCTCAGAACTAGAGGTAATAATTAATTTCTATTTTTTTAATGATACAATAATTTTTAAAAAAATTAAATCACTTGTAAAGTGATCCTTTTGTCTGCCATGTGCATTCCCCAGATTCTTGTTTGGAGTCTTTTTCTTACACTTGAGATTTTTATCCTGTTTTTTAAATTTGCTAAACCAGAAATAAAATAGTTGGCAACTACTGGGCCAACAAAAGTGCCGCTCCTATTTATGGTCACCCAAATGATTTATGTACTTGAGAATGTCACTATATATTTTGAATGAAAAGTACTACAGACATACCACAAATTATTCATAAACCAACAAGGTCAAGTCAGGAGATCTAAAGCTAAGCATCAAAATTCATATTTAGGCATCTGAAGAAGTAACTTGATTTTTCACATATCATTATCACTTCCAATTCCCATTGACATAAGTGATTCAACACCTCTAAAAATGAGAAGTTAAATATAGTTGCCTAACTTTAGGCATGCCCATACGTGTCATTTTGGCCTGTGTTTTTACATGTATGAAGTCTTTACAGTATATCAACTACTGACACAGCCACATTCATTTGATGCAACCATAAATAGTCCAGCCAAGATTTCTCAAGAAGTGACTACACATTTATGCTTCTATTTCCATATTTAAGCATATACCATATTTACTTGATTCCAATATGAAATTTTCCCCTCATTTCCACATATCCCCACCCCACAGCTAAATTTTGATCCAGCACATCATGTTTTGTTTCGATTCCAGCCTGGGCACAGATCATAGCCCTACTCCATGCCCCAGCTCTTGGGCCCAGCTGAAACTGCTGCCACCAAAGTTGCAGGGGGTGGGGGAGAGGACAGAAATGGGTGAACAGGCATAAGAGGGACAGGCAACAGGGTGAAAAAATGCAGGGGGATCTGCAGTAGAGGGCAAGGTGTTGGGTGGCAAGGGGCAGGGAGCCAGCTGCTTGACTCCCCCCACAGTGTCTGCCCCACTACCACCTCCCCACTGACCGCCCACTGCAGCTGCAGGACAGTGCACTGTCCCTGGAGGAGGCCCAATGGAAGAAGAGTTTGGGGAGAACAGCCCTGAGGGAGGACTGCTGCATATGGCATCCCGGCCTGGGGAACTGAGACGCGCAGGAATGGAGGGGCCCAGCAGAGGGGCAGCAGGGGTGGGAGGGAGAGATGACTGACTGATCCCCACACTGCCTGCCCCCCACCACCTGTCCCCCACTGCCTTTCCACCACCTCCCCCACCATCTGGCCCCAACTGCTTCCTTCACCACTTGTTCCTTCACTATCTATCCCTTCCCACTGTCTGTCTCCTTCCACTACTTCCCTTGCTTCAGTAGTGAGAGAGATAAATTTAAGATGACCCACCAATAACTAGATTCTATACATAGAAAATTACAATAAATTTTTATTTTTTTCCATATATGGAATCAAATTATTTATTGCACAATCATATTTAATTCAGTCATCTTGGATGTGGGTAAATAAGTGGTCTAATTTTAAAAGATGCACCTGGCAGGCCCTATTATTAAATAAGTAGGAGTTACTTGGTGTATCTTTGATAATCAGAACACTTAGGCCAGAATACATTTCAGGGCACTGACAGACATGCAGCTCCCTGCTGTAACTCATGGTGCTTCATAGAAAGTGCCATGAGTTAGAGCAACCCCTGCGCCCTGCCCCCCTGCCCCCTCCCCACACACATACACACTTAACCTGACAGACATTCAATGTTGAGTTCAAGGAGGTAAGGGATTGAGCTCCACTTTGGAGCCAGTCCAAGAGAATCTGTTTACCTGCAGCCTCTCTCCCTTAGCCCCCCCCCGCCCCCCTCCCAACCTATCCACCCACCCACCCAGGCCCAGTGCTGTCTGCAGGATAAGAGAGGGAAAGGGAGGGGAGGGAGCTCTTGTCTGGGATTTGTACAACCTGTGCTGAGGGTCAGGGGTAGATTGGAGCCCCCTCAAGGTAAGGGATGTCAATCCACCTTCCCCCACTTACAGTGCAGGCTGGGCAAACCCCAAACCAGAGCTCCCTCCCTTCCTTTCTCTCCCTCCCATCTTGCACACAGCACCAGGGACAGGGCTGGGCTGCATCAACCCAGCCCCAATCAGTGTAGGGACAAACAGAAATTAATAAAGGTGCTCTGTTTTGGAGCATTTTCATCAGAAACCTCATTAAATAAAGGATTAATTTGTCCCATGATCAGGCACTTTTAAAGCACTCCGCAGCTGTGCACTTCTTTCAGGGCATGGCTGTACTGTGCTTTCAAGAGGTCAATCACACAACAAATATCACATTTCTCAGTGCCCTTAGTGTCCGCACTGACCTGGTGTTTTGGGAATGGACAGCATAGTTCATTACTTATCCTTAAGAGTTCCTGTAAATGTGTTGATAGGATAGTTGTCAGCATTTGTTAGCATTTTAAATGCATAAAGAATCAAATTATTATGTGTTTGTTTTTCTTAAAGTATTGCTGAAAATTAGTTCTTCCTGTGATGAAACAAGCTCTTGAGTGCTATTTATTCTGATAGTCCTAGACTGCAGAGCCTTTCTGCTAATTGGTCTTTCTATTTTTATTTAATTTTAAATTCTTCATATTTTTAAGCATAAACTGGGGTTGCTCCAACAAATGGTTTGTATTCAGTGTGAATTACAGGGGGAAAACATAATTGTAATGGAATTAAGTTTGTAACATAGTATCAGTAACACAAAGAGAATAAAGCTTAAAAGAACAAAAGTACTTTAAAAGTGCCAAATTTTATAAGATAGGAAAATGAAATTTTGATTTTACGAAAAAAGAGAAAAAAATCAAATTTTGAAATGTGTAATGAAAGCTTTCCTTTAAATAACGTTAGACTTTAATAACCAAATGGGTAAAAGTTTTATTTGAATTCATATTTCCAAAGTTGATGGTCATATTTCCTGAATTTTACAACAAAAATTGCCTTTGGACTCAAAGTTTAAATGCAAAACTTGAAGTAAACAGTAATTTTATAAAAGACGTTAGAGGAAATGAAAACATTTTACTAAAAGCAAAAACCTTGTTACAACCTGAAAGTATGGACACATTTGTGTTTCTCCATAATACAACTGAGGCAATCATTCCTTCTCTGAGAACGTTGATTATGGCTGCTTTACGGCAGTAATTAAACATAATCTAAGTATGTGAAAGCAATAGTGGTCCTAGAAAAGCTATGTTATTTTGGAGGAGGGAGGGGCGGTAGGGACTGGGGAGTGTGGGAGGTTGAGAGTTGGCTGATTGCTAACCAGTCAAAAACTGTATATCTGCAACTTCTCCTAATCATAAGTATTTGATTTGTTTCTTTAAGGAACATATAGGCATTTCCAGAGGTACTCACTGGAATTATATGTTATTTGTCTAAAGGATTTCCACATTGACTTAGATGAATTTCTGAACTACTGGTACTCTAAACTTAAACCTAGGGTGAAAAAAAATCTAGGTGCACCCTTCCTGCCTCTTACATAATTCACAGATACAAAATGGGTGACCCCTGTCTGAATGGCAGCACTATTGAGAAGGATCCGGGAGTCTTGTGAGTTAACGCTCCTGAGCAGGTATCTACACATGCAGAGACATGGCAGTAAATTTGCTGCCCTTAGCACCAAACCTGCTGCTACTTCATGTGACCTTGAAATAGGTGCCTGCTGCCACTGGGAGGATCTTCAGGCTCTGGCCACAGCCAACAGCCATCTTGAAAAGGCAGCTTCACTCTCTGCTCCCTGCCCAACCACTTCCCTGGCCAGGAGAATTATGCACACTGCAGGGGCAGCATTCAGCAGCTCTCCCCTCACTGCCTCTGCCTCCCCATGCTATGGCTCCTCCAGCCTCTGGCAGCAATGATCACCACCCCAGGTGCCTGCTGGCCACTAATCTGACCCTCCTGGCCTGCTGTGCCAACCACTGGCTGGCCCATAGCCATCTGGGCCCTCCCAGTTCCCTCGTGCACAGAAACCATGTCCCTGGCCACAGCATACCATTCCAGGGTTGCCACCACTGCACATTCCACCACCTCTGGGCCCACCAAGTCAGCCAGGACTGGTGGCTGCACATCATCCAACAGACCGGGGATGATGAGCAGTGTCTGGAGGTGTTCCACATGACATGGGCTACCTTCTTGGACCTCCTGGGGCAGCTCCAGCCACCCCTGGAGTGACAGGACACCAACATGAGGCCACTCTTCCCTGCAGACACCCGGCTGGCCCTTGCCCTGCTTAAACTGGCCACACCGACCAGCCTGCACTATGTGGGTCATCTCTTTGGCACTGGCAAGGCTACCACTGGGGAGGCCGTCCTGGAGGTGTGTGGGACACTCCAGGAAGTGTTGGGGCCCACCATGCTCTGGGTGCATGACCCCCTGGAAGTGGTGGTGGGGTTCTGTACCCTGGGATTCCCCCAGTGCATTGGGGCCCTGGATGAGCCCCACACACCCATTGCCTGCCCACTCCATGACAACCGCCCCTACTACAGCTGGAGGTGCTTTCAGTCAATCATGCTCCAGGCCACTGTGGACCACTGCAGCACCTTCATGCATGTGAATGCCAGTTAGGCAGGCAGTGCTCATGACACCTGCATCTTCTGGAACTCCACCCTGCCAGGCCTACTGCCGAGCAGGCACTTTGTGCAGGGGGTGCTGGAGCTGCAGCTGGGCATCATGGTGGTCCCACCCATCCTCATCAGGACCCCACCTACCCATTCCTGCCCTGGCTCATGCAATCTTACACCAGCCAGCTGGACCCCCACCAGATCCACTTCAACAGGTGCATGGGCCAAACCGATGCCCTGGTGGAGTACGCTTTCAGCCACTTCAAGGGACACTGGTGCACCCTCACCATCCACCCTGAGTTTAGCAAGGACAACCTCCCCTGGGTCATCATCACAGCTTGTATGCTGCATAACATCTACAAGGCCTGAAGGGAGCTCTTTGCAAGGCCTGGGCACAGGAGGCTTACTGCGAGCATATCTCAGAAGAACAACAATTTTTATTCCCCTCACATCAAACAGACCCCCGTCCCAACAAATAGAGCCTCCTTCCCTCCCCAACAAATAGAGCCCTCTTCCCTTTCCTCCCCTAACAAAGGCCCTCCACCACCCACCTCACCCACCAACAAGAAAACATCCTCTTCCCTGTGCAAACTATTCCTCAAATGGGAGCAGCAGGGCTAGCGTGCTGTCCTGGCCCCACTGCAGGCAGCTCTAACTCTATTCCTGGGCGGCAGGCCTGGGCCCAGATGGACTGGGTGGCAGGGAACCTGATGCAGGGGCTGGGGCAGGGGTTCCTGACTGATGGAGGCAGCACTGGATTTCCGCCCAGGCCCAGTGCAGGGTCTGCTGCTGGGCAGTGGGCAGCTGCCAGGGGGCAGGAGTGGATAGGGCAAGGCAGCACAAAGGTGGCCACCAGGGGCAGGATGGTGTCCAGCACTCAGCACCCATTGTCCATCGTCTGCGCTTCCCTGCTGAGGACTGTGGTCTGCCCCCACAGGGCCTCCACTCACTTGTGCTCTAGAGTCAGGAGCTGCACCTGAAACTCCCATTCTGCCCAGTCCTGTACATCCTTGCAGGCCACATCCTCTGCCCACCAGTCCCATGCACCTATCAGCCAGTCCTCCAATGCCACCACCAGCCAGTCCAGGAGGATGGTGCAGTCCTGGGTCTGCCTCTGGCAGAGTCGGTGCATCTGCAGAGCCCCAGCAGTGGGCAGTGCCAACCCTGAGCCTGCATCCTGCTTACTAGCTGTGGCCTCTCCCCTGTGCATAGCTACATGGCCTGCAGAGCTATGAGAAAGAAGCTGTTTGTAAGAGTTTGCAACATTTCTGAGATGAGATGCTCTGTACTGGGGTTGTACACTGCCTGGACTCAGATCAGGGGCTGGCATGCACAGGTGCTCTGGGACCTTGGTAAGTCAGCTGGTTAGGTCTGGACCTAGGTAACATTGCCCAAGCCTCCTGTCCCTGCTTGCTCCCCTGGGGCAGGTGGGCTGCTGGGTGCTGGCTGCAGGCAGCCTGCCTTCTCCACCCAGTTTCCATGGCTTCCCACCTGCTGCCATGGCTCCATACCCCACTGTCCCCACTTCTCCTGAAGGCCAGCCACTGTCCTGTGCTGCTGTCAAGCCCATGCTGCCTGGGCTCAGGGGGTGTGGAACTCTTGGATGACTGGGACATGGAGCTTGCTGTGCCCCCCCCCTCCCTGTAGGGGGCCTCTCTGGAGAGGCACCCCAGGGCCAGCACTCCCCCAAGGTGGCACTGTGTCCAATCGTGCTCCTACTGCACATGTCACAGGCAGTGCACAAGGAACTGTTTGCATGGACTGAGGGGTGCCCAACCCACACATCCTTCTACTGATTGCCAGGGTGCCCTGGTCACACCTGCACACCTGGCACAGGATACTTAGCTTTGATGGTGTGGGGGGCAAGCCTGGGCTGTCCCACAGCCTCCGCCACCACCTGGAGGGCTACCTGTGGCTGAATTACACATCCCTGCCCCCCACTGAGGAGGACATCTCTGCCAGCTTTGATGTGTTCCCCAGCATATGAGAGGCCCATGCAAGGTTCCTTCCAAGCTGCACACATGCACAGCCACTCACAATTTAATACCATGTAGCATACTAACTTATTAACACCATGCACCCACCCGGAGAGAAGCTAGGCTGTGGTGCAGCAAGAAGAGGCAGGGGCTGGGGCTGGGAGCTGGCACTGCGTCTGCCGGCACCGGGGAACTGCTCTGCTCCCCAGCCGAGGCCATGTGCCTCCTCACTCCTGGAGGCAAGGCAGGGGTGGGCGCTGGGGCTGGGGCTGCCACAGGAACTGCTCCACTCCCTAGCCCCGAGTCCATGTGCCTCCTCACTCCCGGAGCAGGGACACATGCAGAGCTTGGCTTCCCTGGATCTCCAATTAAATGCTGCAGGCAGCAGCGGCTCAAGGCAGCCAAGAACGCAACCTGACATTTCACTCCTCTTCAGACAGCATGTTGCTCTCCCAGCAACAGTGTTTACACAGCCCGATGCATCACGGTTGGATTTACTTTGGCTACCTGCAGCAGGGAAAGGTACGCAGAGCAGGATGGTGCAGAAGCTGGGTCCGCATTAGAGGAAAAGGAGCAGATACAAGAAATTGTTCCTAACCATGATGAAGGTTGGGGGTGCTGGTTACAGCTGTGTTGGTCTAAGGGCATAGGCAGACAAGGTGCTTTGGGTAAATTATATCACATTTACCCAAAGCACTTTGTCTAACCATGACATAAGATTTCTGCATCATGAATGGGGAGTCCCCATTACCGGCTCCGGGAAACTGCTCTGCTCCCCAGCCCTCAGTCTTGTGCTTGGAGGATTATTGCAAAATCCACTGCATGAAGATCCAGTACATGAGGATTCTAGTCTATTAGGTTTAGCGTAATCCAGATCCAGGCTTAGCAAAAGGAGGAGGCAGAACCGAAGTGACGCGCTCACGAATCGCTACACCTTAGAGGGAACATTGGGCCCATGCCTGCCTAGCTGCAGTGGCACATGCTGCTCAATGAAATTTGGCACTTTTTCCCACCTCTCTGAATGCTGGGGTAATGGGGAACCCAAGGGCCAAGGGAGTGCAGGCAGGGAAGGCTGGGCAGGGAGGAAGGGTAGGAGCTGAGGCATGGGTGGCCCTCCCCCCAGTGTGGGGCTTACCACATGGCTAGAGCTGGTATGGCTGGCAGTTTCACTTGGTCCCAGATGGCAGTGATGGCATGTGGCACCAGGCAATATTCTTGGACAGCAGAGTGTAGTGTGCAGGCACCTGGGCAGGGGCCCTGCCCATGGAGCAGCTGGCACTGCTGGTGGCCAGTGGTGACATGTTACATAGTGATGCTTTACAGCGCAGTAGTCTACTGCATGGTGTCTTGTGTAGACATGCCCAGTGAGATTTATCCTTAAAATACAACACATAGCTTTTCAAATTTGTATGTGTAAATTATTTTATATATTCCCATATGTCTTATTCAGCCAAGTGCAAAGGTTTTTCAGAACATCTCCTGTTCGTTACATACCTGAAATTTATTACATATGTAAGCAAAAGGACTACCATCCTTAATAATGGATTTTATTGTAGCTCTATCCTTTTTTCCCCCGGAAATCTGAGATTCCTTTATTATCTTTAAACTTCAGTTGAGGGTGTCCCCATAAAGAAATAGAGGGGGATCTTGTTAAATCAGAAGATGTTAAGGCTTTAATTTTCTTCAATACACTACATGAAGAGTTAAATACAACATTCAGTTTCAGAGTTCTGCGTAAACTCTTAAGAAATGGAAATGAATATAATGATTCAAACTTGGAAGCTAACTTTTCTTCCATGTTCAACCTATAGGTTGTCCCCTGAAATAGTTTCATACATGCAGTATTTAAGCACCCTCATATGAAAAGCCAGATAATATAAATAGAAGTCTGGGATACCCACTCCACCATGGCACCATGCCCTTTTAAGAGCTTTGGCAGCCATTCTTGGTCTTTTAGATTGCCATATGAAGTTGAATATCATTTTATTTATACACTTAAAAACAAGTATTTTCAAGGGCAATAAACTGAGTATATAGTTAATTCTGGGGGACACAGAGCACATCTACACATTAATGCACTTTTCCTAATGCACATTAAATTTAGTACCTCCAATGGAGGTACTAAAGAAATGTTCATTAGGCTGCCCTAATGTGCAGTACCACAAGCACACACTTTTTAAGTGACGCATAATGCGCAGTAGCCTATTTTACCATGCATTAGCATATTTGTAGTTTTTTATGGGATGTTTTAATACGCAGTGAAATAGACTACTTCATTAAAGCACATGAGTAGCCGTGCCCACATTCATTTTGATTATTTTTCTTCTTCCTGTTAATGATATAGGAAGTGTTTTCCATCTTTCCATCGTTTTTAATACTAGTTAATTTTTATCAACATTTATTTGCACCATATAGTGAAGATTACAGCATACCTGTATGCCTAAATAGTCTATTACCTTACAGTTCCGTAGTTAAGAATGGAAACATTTGGATAGATCTGGTCTCATTGACACATTCATATAAGATTTATTCCAATTGAATTTGAGGCTTGATAACTGGCCAAATGACTCAAACAGAGCTAACAGATGTGATAATGAATTACGTGGGTTTTTCAACACAAGTAGGATATAATTTGCATATAAATTGATTTTATACATTTCCCTTCTGGAATTTTCCCTTTATTTAAGGCATGCATCACCTTCATAACTTCCTGTAATGTGATTTCCTTTTCCACTTCAACTGCTCCTTTAACTATACTTAATTAGCAAATTGAATACTGATTTTATGTAACTTGGAAAATTACCTCCCCTTATCTTGCAGCTCACATAGCAGAGTTATATAAACAGGCAGTGGCCCCTCAGCTCCAAACTTCATCAAAACACAGTGAGAAGAACTGGCAGAAATTGAGGTAAGAATCCAGTGAGACTTCCTCTTAACTTGAGTCATAGGCTGAGGAGGAGCAGAACTGGGAGAGGGTGTGCTGTGTTGGTTAACAAAGGGGAGTAGAACGGACTTTTCATAGCATTGTCCTAACATTCCCTATGACAACTTTGTCCAGACTTTGACTCCCTTATCAGTGCCTAACTAGAAATGCTGCTGCCACTGCCAAACAGATGGTTTTAACTTTGGGTGAAGCAGGAATCAAAGGGGGGGGCGGTGCAAGTGCACTAATGCACCTCCACCCCTGGATCCATCCTGACACTGTCTGCATCTCAGTTTCCTAATCTATAAAATGGAGCTATTAACATTTTCCTGTCTCTCAGGCATAGTGGAGTTAAATTGTTTGTGAAGGTTTTGAAGACTCTTTGATAAACAATGCTATAAAAATGCAAACTCTGGTTGAGCATGAAAACCCATGCCAGATGTGCAGTAAAGGCACAATGAGATCTGATACACACATGCATGGCAGGAGGCATGACTGTGGGATTGAGTATCAGATCCCATTGCACCTTCTTGCTGGTGCAAGGGGAGCCTGGGATTATGATCTGGCAAGTAGCAAGCTTCCATGGCTGGGAGCCCCCTCAGTTGATGGGTGTTTCAGCCACAGGGGTGCACCGTGTGCCCCTGAGGCTGAGAACCCATAGCTGATGGGGTGCACTGTGCACACAGGCAGCTGGGAGCCCCATCAGGTAATCTGGGCTCTCAGCCACAGGGCACACCATGAGTTCCCAAACTAGGAGCCCCATCAGTTGACAGGACTCCCAGCCATAGGGGCATGCCTGGCCACATGTTCAATTAATGGCATGATAGGAATCAACCACAAAGTTATTACACACTTTTTGTGGAATCACTTTGTGGCTTATTCCTTGTGTTATGATGCTATTAATTGCTTAATGTCTGGCCAAGCTACAACGCAAGACATGAGAAATTGTTTAATCACCTCTTAAGTGTAACATACAGCAAGTGTCACAAAACATGCAAGTGATCAGTGCAGATGAGAAGCCACTAGATACACAAGCATAACATGCTTTAATAAAACAATACTTTTTTCCACTAGCTATTGTGTAAATTGTGCATGTTTATCAAAATACTATGTTCCGTATCTCAGTTTTATTCTCTTTTTTTTTTTTATTTCCTACTCATATAGCAAAGAAGAATTACCCCAAGTATCTCAATGGCAGAAAAAAATAGAGCAGCACAGGTAATGGCATTATAGGACAGAAAGCTAGACCCTGATCCAAAACCCAACAAAGTCAATGGAAAAACTCTTACTGCTATCACTGGGCTTTAGGATCAGGTCCTGAGGGCTGGTTCAATAGGCAACCATACTGTTGGAGTATTATGTCTAAAGGAAATACTTAGTGAATAGGTGGATTGCTTATCTAATCCTTTTGGAGATGCTGGGTCAAAGAACAGGAGCAGAAGCAGTGTTTTCTACTGCTTAGGGTTAGGCATGAGAAGGGCTCACTGCACCATAACAAGCTAATGTAATTTATGTCAGTATTTTTAAAGTCTGGTGCCCAATTTTAGGATTTTAGAGTCACATCGAGGCTCCTAAGTGGTATGATTCTTCAGAAGCAATAGACATTTTTTTTCTCCTGAATGGAAATCAGGGCAGTTTAGTGCTAACTTTGAACATTTTGGCCCTGAATTGCCCTATACCTCAATTTTTCCCATTTGTAAAATATTCAGGTTCTTCCCACAGGGATTGTGAAACACTTTTAACTAATGTCAATAAACACCTGAAGATCATCAGAGTAAATATGCTTTGTAAGGAGAAAGTATTATATTCTTTACATCAGCAAGAAGTATAGGTGAGGTTAAAACTCAGCTTTTATTCTAACATTGCTCTTTCACTTGGTCTTTTATTTCCCTTTATTGAACTCTGATGAAAGATCAATATAATTGAAAGTATGAGCAAAGTCTGTCCAACTACTTTGAAACTATACAAGTGAAAAAATATACTTTTCACAATTTAAAATTTATTTAGGAGGATTTTTCTCAAGGATATCTCAGAAGTGACTGAACCTCAACTTACAAACATATATGAGTCCCCAAAAGATTGAAAAGACTGTTTTTGCATGATCAGTGAGAATTTGGTATTAACTTTATTTTAAAGCTATTATGTCACTGTTCTGTAGAGACACAACTCCAGATCATGGCATTGTGGAACTTCAGGATATCATTGTTACGTTTCATTTATTCACAATGTTGTATATAAAATCACTGAAAAATCCCATAGCTCCAAAGGGAAGATTTTTATTAATTTGATGGGAAGTGTACTTTATGGTGTTGTACAAAATATGACCATCTAAATCCAAATATTTTTTTAAAAATCTATAACAAATAAATATCAAGTTTGGAAACCTAAAATATGAGCTAAAATCACAAAGTGAAGGTTGTTAGAGGTGCATATATTTGCCCACAGTGATCAAAAATAATGTGTAAGATTGCTTTTTAAGCTGTTTGTTGTTTGCCCTAATGAGTGCACGAGTGTGCAGTGTGGATAAAATAATCTTGTGTTGAGCAGCTTTTGCTGTCTTTTTTTTAGTGAAAGACTGAATAGTAATTGAATCAGGGTCTCTTGCTTGGTGAAGGGACTAAGCTAATATTCTTGACTTTTAATTGAAATGTTGAAATCATAGAAAGTTTCAATTTCAGATTGAAATTAGATTGGTTTAGTGCCATATTGACACCAACATTTTACATTGTAATATATACTATATAAAGAACAACTTCAAATGGATATATTAATGTATGTGTTACCTGAAAATTTCCCTGCAATTCAGTTTCTGTTAGACAGTATCAAAACTCTCACTGACATTAAAATTATGACGATTTCACATCTGGTTATCTACTCATGATCAGGAGTATCTCCCTTGAATTGTAGTGGTATAAAACTAGTTAAGTGGGTGAAAAATTAGGCCTAAAATATACTTTGAGTCTCTATTAGTTTAATAATGATTAAGAAAGCACTCTGCTAAACCTTCTCATATCCAAGTGCTCCCCAGTACTCATTATGTGGCCCTCCATTCCAAATAATTGCCCACCCCTGCACTACCTTCAAGTCTCAGAGCAAATTCAACAAGATCTGCCTCTCTTATCAGGGCTGAAAGATTTAGAGCAAATTTTGAGATCTATAGAGCAGTCACTTCATAATGTCTATGTATTTTGATCAGAATCGGATGAAGACACAATCTTTGAATGCCAGTTCTTTCAGTCTGCCATTCTTCCTTGGTCTGCCCCCATCTTTCATTTTGCGTTTTTCTACTTCTTTTTTTGTGGTTGGAGCCTGTGTGCTCTTTCTGATCTGTCAGCCCTAGACTTGAGGATTTATTTTGTGCATGTAAAAGGACCATTTTCATTTACTGCAGATACATTTTCTCCTCTAAGCTGGGCTTTTTTTCCACTCTGGAACATAGTAGATATTTATACTTTTCTTCAGTTTAAAGCTTTGTAAGTTGGCACTGTGATGCAGTTCTGGAGCTCATTTAAGGGGAGCTGCTTCTGTCTGGTTCTGAGATTTGTTAATCCATCAATCATTCTCCAGACAAGGCTATTCCTTGGTTATGAGAGAACATATTTGCTGTATGTTTAAACTATTTCTTTTTAAGGACATAGGCACGTCTGCAATTGTGAGAATACTTAAATAGGCAAAACATCAGCCCCTATTACACTGACCATAAGGAAATCTGGTATGCTGCCCCACCCTTCCCCCTCTCCCCAGCCCTGCTTTCCCAAGCCAGAGGCACTGCTGCAAGCAGAAGCAGGGGCAGGGCAGCGTGGTGTGCCAGGCAGGCTGCAGTGCCTGCTTGCCTGCATGCCTAGCACGCCATGCAACTCCATGCCACTCTGCCTTCCTGCCAGACTGTGCCCTGCACCCTTGCATTTCCCAGGTGCTCATTTTACTTCTCATCAGCCGGCCAGGACCCACCTCTGAAATCACAGACTGTCCCAGCTAAACTGGTACATATGGTCACCTTAGCTACTATACATAAAAATTTCAAATTGCTACCTAGATCCCAGATCTGTAGCATAGGAATCAGTAACTGATCCCTCTTCTTCTCACAGTTTGGTAACATGATCAAATTGCCAGTGATTTATAAGACTACCATTAGATTTAGTTAGCAAGAAAAAGTCTTTAACAAATTGTTCTTGTTACTTCCATTGGTAGAAAGCCTGGACATATAATTGAAAAGCAAAATGGGACTACAATTGTATTATTTTCTTTTTTCTTTTCCTTGCCATAAACATGAAAACTTTACTAGGAAGGAACTTGATGAAGGAAAGTACTGTCTAATGGCAATAAGAAAAAAAATAATTCCACCCTATTTTGAATCTGAACTTGGCAGAGAATTTCTTCTTAAACAGGTAATGGAGTTCAAAGGAACTGAATGAAATTGTGTTCATTTAAAGAATGTCTAAGTAAGTCATGGCATGCCACAAGTTAAGCTTTCCCCCACATCTTCCGAAGTGCCCCTTTTTGCTGCCCCCAGTAGGTATACTTGATAGAGTTTACTAATGTAAGTGCACAGTCAGACCAATGGTTCATCTAGCCCAGTATCCTTTCTCTGACAGTGGCAGTATTAGATACTTTAGAGGGAGATGGTATAAACAGTTTGTGCCCTGGAAAGAAGGCAGGGGAGCTTGAGCCTCCAGCTGCACAGAGTGAGTGGAGGCAAGACATGCTACAAGAGACATGTCACCACCAAGAGCCAAGTTAGCCCTTTCCTGGCCCCATAAGCACTGAAATTTTATATGGCAGGAAAGAATCCACGTCCCTGAATTTGGCAGCAGGACCAGGGAAGGTTTAACCTGGCTCTTGTTAGGGACACCTGACGCTTCCTCTTGCAGCAGCATCTTGCCCCCATTCTGCTCCATGCAGCCAGAGGCTTGAGTGGCCCACCAGCTCCATTCTAGCGCCTCCCTTTACAGATGCATAATGAGTAGGATTTTCACCCTGAGCAATCGGGCAGAGAGGTGTGGCTGAGTGCTGAAAGGGCAGAAGTTCTGAGATTGAGGGGTGAACAGGGGGGCCTGATTCAGGAATCCTACCTACCCCAGGAACTCAAAAATAGTCCCTGGTAGCAACTGCTGCCACTGCCACCGCTGTTGTTATCACTGCCACCACCATCACTACAGTGTGGTCTGGCTGCCCCAGCTGTTATCCTTATAGCAGTACCATGGTTTCCATGCACCGAACTGCTGCTGCAAGAGCAATGCTTTTGCTCTGGGGCATGGATTTTGTGAAAGTGAGGGATGATTTTGGTGCCATCCTAGGTCAGTCTTGTGGGGCTGGTGTCTCACTTGCTCACCCCTAGTTTAACACTACTGTCCCTTTACTGAGCACCCATGCCACATCCCATGTGCCACACACATGGCAGCTGTTGTTGCTGCTGCTTGTGGTCATCCCTGGTATAAGTCCTACAAAACATGTTATGAAGGTGTTGTAGAAAACAGTTATGGGTATGTGGACAGGGTTAGCATTAACAGGTGCATGCATGTGTCCAGTAATTAACGTATCTTTAAGTAGAATAGTCCTGCTTGGTAAGTGGGCTAAATTGCTTGGTTATAATTTTATAGAAGGAAATGTATTCTAGAATCAGAGATATACTAATACTGTACAGATTCATTGTTGCCAGTTTAGTTCTGATTATTTGTTTCCTTTACGCCTTTTTTTGTTGTTAAGACATGCATCTGGTTAGGAAATCTGAGCACTTTATGTAATTTTTCTTTAGTTTCCTGATTTGGAATCTCTCTCTAAAGAACTTCCTCCATTTCCAAAGAAAGAGAGAAAGGAGTCCTCCTTAGAGACAATCTCCATTAGCAGTAATTTTGAGTTCAGTGCAGGTAAGGTTTCAACACGGAGCAGGTCTCCATTGACTTGTTCATCTTCCTCATGCTCATCTTGCACTTGACTACAATATTGTGCCTTGAGGCTGTTATAGAATAGGAGTTTGTCTGCATTACAAGCCTTCTGACAGCAAACAGCAGTGTCTAGACAGAAGTCATTAGGTCCTGTCCACATCTATGTGGCTTCTGGTAGTTGCACATCTTTCAGAGATTCACGATTCTGCTACAGCAAGTGTGCAGCGGCACCAGCTTTGTACCCTGGGAGGCACCAGAAGAAAGTGCAACTGTGTCTGCATGTAGTGGCAGAAGCCTTATCTCTCATTCAGAGAGCTGGTGTGGTTCTGTCAGTAGAAAAAATACTCTAATGCCACAGAAGAGCTAGAACTGGAGGGACACAGTTTTGCCAGCAAAACTTGAGTTTGCTGCAGAATTATGTAGTGAAGTCTGAGGTCTCCATTGGCTTCTGACACTGCATAGCTGAATGAGTTATCTATTAAGAGTGGTGGATGTTACAAATAACAACCACTCTTCATACCAATAAGAGTGGTGGATGTTACAAATAAGTGAATATTACAAATAGTGCTTCCAAGATGTTCAGTTCTAAGCTTCATTATTTGATTCTGTATCACCAGCATCAGCTTGATACGTGTACTGCTTTGGAATATTTTAAAACCTCTGTGAGGTAAAGCAGCCTGTGCAGCAAAATGCACTGGAAGAAACTCTGGCTGCAAAGGCAAAAGTTTAGGGGTTTTCAGATTAACTGAGGATATGGGTACAGCCAGAGCAGCCAAAGCAAGATCCATGAGAACAAAAAGCGACCAAGAATAGATAATCAGGCAGTGAAGGCTGTAAAAGCACAGGGTGAAAGTTTGGAATGAGCTAAGAGATAGGTTGGATCCTAAAGTGAAGCAGAAGGATGGGGTCAGGGGGAGGCACTTGGAAAAATGGTGATAAGGAAAGGGTGGATAGGAAATGTGAGTGGGATTGGGGCAAGGCAGCTTAGAGGACAGGGAGACAGGACTGAGTAGAATGGAGGGCATCAGGGAACAGAGGATGGGTAGGCTTTGGAAAAGTCATCTTCAATAAGCAGTTTGCAGCTCTGGCAGGAATACTTTGATTCTTAGTTTAGACAGCAGCCCTAACAAGCCATTGAAGATGTTCATCAAGATGAAAGGTATTTCATTGGAGTATTCATGACTTGGCAGTGCATCACACCAGCAAAACAATCTCCCATGGAGTTCTAACAGGGCTCTGAGGATGCCCATATGTATGTCCCCATGTTCTAGTGTGCTCCAGTCTCTCATATTGGAGATATCAAGAGAATGGGATTGAATTATCCAGTATATCCCAAGGAAGCATCCCAAGGCAATCCTGGTAATGATTCACCAAGCTGCCAGTACAGGATTTCCACTCTCAGCTGCCCCAGAAGCCAGCTGTTTGTGGCTATATCCACACAGCACATATTGCAAGGCCCAGACTACAGAGAGAGTGAACAAGTTTCCCAAATTAAGACGTCTAATACTTGGTCTTTCTGTTGTATCTATAGAAATGTTGAGTGTTGGCTTAACCAATTGCTTGTCCATGTAATGTCATTTGTTCTGCAGTATCAAAAGAGATACATGCCACAGCCAGTGACTTTTTATCCTCACTCAATCCTTTGTCAGACAGTTCTTCAGAATGGGTTCAAGTTTCCTGCAGCCATTCTATAGCAGGTAATGGACTATTCCAGTATCTTGTCCAAGGCAAAAGAAAATCAGTTTTAGTATCATACCTGGCAAAATGTCCATGACAGTAATTTAAAACTAACTATTCAGTTCAGCAGTCTCCACACAGGTTCAGCTGTAGGGCTCATGGAGGGAGGGCCAAACATGTGACTGAACTGTTTACTGCAATAATAATAAACACTTCAAGAAAAATAGTAAAAAGGATTTGCCCCTAATTTATGGCCTTAGCAAGATGCTGTATCAACACAGGAGTTAGGAGAGCTTTGGAATAAGCTATGAAACAATTCTCACAACACACATTTTACCCAAAGTAATGTATTCTCTTCTACAAGGCCCCTCCCCCAGCACAATCCTGATCTGGGGATTTTTGTGGGGGAGGACCAGCAGTGACAATGGTTTTGGAGGCAGAAGGAGGTGAGCCCTCAGTTCATAACAGTACATGTATTCCAAATAGTGGTGCTGCAATAAATCAGACAAATCAGAGAGATGCCTGTGTTGCTCTGGGGACTTCACTAACTTCTGCAACAGACAGGAAGGTGCAAATGTAGATAAAAGTAATCTTCACACCCTTGTCCTTGGACTTAGAGTTTTGTGCCCTGCCCCTTAAACCTTGTCCACACCTGAAGGCTTTACCACTGTATCTATACTGATTTAGCTTTAGCAGTAAAATCCTCTAGGATAAACACAATTGTAGTGTACTTTTACTGATCCTGCTTATTCAGATTTGGAGAGCAAAATAAACTATTCTGGCAAAAGCAGATTTCTACTCCTATAATAGCATCAACATTTAGGGTTTGGCAGCATTGCTTTGTTTTGGGGGAAAAATGTGAATCCTTAACCAGTAGAGCCCTATTGGGAAACCTTAAAGTATAAACGCATCATATAGGTACAGTCTTTCTTCCAGTGTTCCTATTGCTGAAACAGGTTTGGTCCTATCCAGTAATCAGCTGAGGGGTGTTTCAGATAACATAGTACAGTTTACCAATGTTTATCAAGCATCTCTGTTCTTGTCTTCCCAGAGTAGATGAACAAGTACAGTTTTAAATAAAGAAAAAGCAAAGCATTTTATTAAAAGTGATGTGGCTAAAAGCCTGTCATTTGTTGCATTTATCCTCCCATTAGTTTCAACATTTCCCCTAACTATTATTGTGGCAGAAATGCCACCGTCGGTGCCCCTCTCCAGAGACCTGCCTCTGCCACCTCTGCCAGCCTGAGAGGCTGGTGTTGAATCCCTCAGGGCGGGGATCTCTCTCCTTGTCTGCATGACAAAAGCCTGGTGCCTGAATGCTCTGGTCACCTGGGCAGGGGGGGGAAAGCCCGGCCCTGCGCGCGGGCCCAGGTAGCCAGGGATGCTTGGTAGATTGGTCGGCTTGTGGCCAGTATTGGCAGCTTCAATTGGACCGGGCTGCTGAGGTCAGAGAGGTTATTTAAGGGCCCGGGCCAGGAAGAAGGAGCCATTAGCCATGCGGTCATCCAGGTGAATCTGAAACTGGCTCTCTCCTCATCACCGCATGCTCCAAGAGCGACCTGCCTCCAGAGGGAAACTCCAACCACTTCTGGATGATGCGAGTGAGTAAGCTACTAGAGATCCGATTAGATATTTAGCTTCAGTAACTCAGATGCGTGTTTAAACGGCTACCTCAGCCACACTGGTTTGCTCTATGGGATTCCTTTGATATTCCTGTGATATTTCTATGATACTGCTCTGCCTTTTTATCTGTTTCCGCCCTACCCCCTGTAATCAATAAAGTTCTCCTTTGTGACCGGTGTGGGAGACTTATTGAGGGGTGGGTCTAAATTATGCCAAGGAGGCCCCTTAGGTCTGTGGACTAAGGGAGGCTTCCCTAATCAGCCCCTGACTTGGGAAGTGCCCCAAGGGCTTATATTGGGTCTAGTACCTATTGGACGATCAGGCCTGTGTTCTCCAAGGTGCGCAGAGCCAGAATTGAGTCCAGAGCCTTGGATGGTGGCAGCGGGAACCCCAGGCTAGCGGGTGTGCTCCAGGGAAGGGGTCGGCCGGATGTGAGGCACCCTAAAGGAGGCACTCGGAGCCTGGAAGGTGGTCGGGCGCAGGGAGGTGGGCGGCTCAGCGCAGGAGCGCCCCCTACTGGCCCGCCACAATTATCAGTTACCATACATGGAATATCCACCGCCAGTTGACTCTAAGGCTCCCTTCTACATGTGCAGGCAAAGGTGCAATAGGACCTAAAATGCAGTTCACACAGTCACACCTGCCATGCAACACATGAATGGGAGGAGACATAATTGTGGGTTCCAGCATAAGATTCTATCACGCCTTATTGCCAGTACAGAGACAGCCCGGGATCATCATTCCAGGCTCCCCCTGTGCTGGCAAATAGGGGAAATCACAGCCCTGGCTGCACCCCACCTGGCAGCTATGGGACTGCAAACTCCCAGCTGCTGGGAGTATGGTAGGCACCTTGCATCTGGGAGATGACAATAGCTGCAATCTCCCAGTTGTGGGGTGCTTCCATGCACCCTATGTCTGGGATATCATAGCAGCTGTGATCTCCCAGCTCTGATTCATGAAACCTGCAGCTGGGAGATCACAGCTGTTGCAGTCTTCCAGTCGCAGAAGCACACCACAGATCCCTGTGGCTGCAAGATCACAGCCCAGCCCCACAGCTGCTGGGACCCAGAGTAATGCAACCAAAGTTCCCTCTAAGGTGTAGTGAAAAGTGAGCACGCCGCTTTGGTTCTGACTCCTCGTTTCGCTAAGCCTGGATCCGGACTACACTAAGCCTAATAGACCAGAATCCTCATGTAATGGATCCTCATGCAATGGATTTTGCAATAATTCTCCAAGCACAAGACTGGGGGCTGGGGAGTGGAGCAGTTCCCCAGAACCGGTAATGGGGACTCCCCATTCATGATGCAGAAATCTTATGTCATGGTTAGACAAAGTGCTTTGGGTAAATGTGATATAATTTACCCAAAGCACCTTGTCTGCCTATGCCCTTAGACCAACACAGCTTTAACCAGCACCCCCAACCTACATCATGGTTAGGAACGATTCCTTGCACCTGCTCCTTTTCCTCTGATGCAGACCCAGCTTCTGCACTATTCTGCTCTGCCCCGCGCACTTTTCCCTGCTGCAGATAACCAAAGTAAATCCAACCACGGTGCATCGGGCTGTGTAAACACTCACTGGGACAGCAATGGAGAGGGATGGCCTCCACCTCTCTCCGCTGGGGAGGAGGCTCTTCTCAGCCAGACTGGCTGACCTGCTCCATCGGGCTTTAAACTAAGCCCGCCAAGGGTTGGGGGGACTACTGCCACTGCAGGCCCACTGAACAACCCTTGCAAAGCCAGCAGGCCATGGCACTTAAGGGAGCCCACCCCTGCCCTAGCCCTAGAATGAACTGTAGGCAAGGCAAGGGCCCCCAGAGGGACACTTGTGTGCCTATACACAAATGTCAGGAGCTTGGGGAATAAACAGGAGTGTCTCTAGTGGGTTATGGAATAGAGAAAATCCCACACAATTACTGATTCGTTTTGATGCACTGGCTGGGGGAGTAGTTAGCTGATTGCACGATTTCACAATGATTACACACTTAATTTATACAACACAATTTTATTTTAAAACTCTTTGCTACATATATAACACTGCTTAGCTTTAAGAAACACCACAAACATTAAAAACACAATAATTACATATATCAGAAACAATGCTCCGAATGCACTTCCTTCCCAAACAATGCTATAAGAATTAGTGTTACAAAAACAACTACAATTACAACTAAAAGTTAAATTTGAATCAATACTATTATTTTTCATAATATACTTACAATCCTAGAATTCCGAGAAGCCAAATACCAAAATATGGTTTCATTCCTCAGTAGTACGATTTAATGGGTTGGCCTCAGTAGTACGATTCAATGGGCTCGCCTCAGCAATACAATTCAATAGGCTGGCCTCAGCAGTGATAGGACTAAGTCCCCTTCCTTCAGTCCCTTTC